TCATTCATTCTCGTTCAGTTCTACATTCTAACATGGTATCCGACGCCTAGGTCAGGACCTAGGACCGACGTTGGTTAGGGCCCACCGTTCCGCCGCGCCCTTGCGCGACCGTGTCTGATAGTATCTCGCGCCGTCGTGCGCCCCTACCCGCGCCGTCGAGTGCCCCTTCTAGCGCCGTCGTGCGCCCTGTTGCTAGTTGCGCGCTGCCCACTAGCCTCGCACGCAGCCCCTCGCGGCCCCGTGCAGCCCTGTGTACCGTCTCCTCCTGCGTCCTCTCTTCCTGACGTTGCTGACCCGCCGTCAGACCTTGCTCGTGCTGCCAGTCCTACTGTCACGCGTCTTCTCGCTACTGTTGTCACTGACCCTTCCTTTGAGTCCACTGCTGCGTCTGCTCTAGTTGCTGAGCTTGTTGACTTTGCTGCCGCCTGTCGTCTAGACTACGCCGCTAGCCTTGTTGCTGAGTCTGAGTCTGTCTGTCCTCCGTCCGTCGGGGGTGAGTGTGCTCTTGGCACGGACGTCCTTGAGGACAGACAGGAGGAGTTTGAGTGCTTTGCCGCTGCTTTACCTCATCTCGTGTCCATGCCGATTGCCCCTGAGGGAGACCCGGATGCACCAGACATCCCGACCCCGCGCTCTTACGCAGAGGCGATAGAGGGTCCCTACTCCTCTCAGTAGCAGACAGCCATGGACGCAGAGATGGCTTCTTGGAAGTCCACAGGCACCTACGTCGGCGAGGTTCCCCCACCTGGGGCGAACATCGTCAGTGGCATGTGGATTTTCAGGGTGAAGCGGCCGCCGGGTTCTCCGCCTGTCTTCAAGGCGCGTTACGTTGCACGAGGCTTCAGTCAGCGAGAGGGATTTGACTTCTTCCAGACCTTCTCCCCGACCCCGAAGATGACCACTCTTCGGGTTCTGCTGCACGTCGCCGATCAGCGTAACTACGAGCTCCACTCTCTTGACTTCAGTACTGCTTTCCTACAGGGCAGCCTGCACGAGGAGATCTGGCTGCGCCGCCCACCTGGCTTCACTGGGTCGTTTCCTGCTGGTACCCAGTGGAGCCTCCGGCGGCCAGTCTACGGTCTCCGCCAGGCACCCCGTGAGTGGCACAACACACTGAGGACTACTCTTGCTGCTCTTGGGTTTGCTCCTTCTACTGCTGACCCGTCGCTGTTTCTACGCACCGACACCACTCTGCCGCCGTTCTACGTTCTCGTGTACGTAGACGACTTGGTCTTTGCTACTGCGTGAAGTCGGAGCTGCAGAAGAGACACACGTGCACCGACCTGGGTGAGCTGACAAGCTATCTTGGCTTGCGGATCACCCGGGACAGAGCACAGCGCACCATCACCTTGACTCAGTCACACATGGTGCAGCAGGTCCTTCAGCGCTTCCGCTTCACGTACTCCTCGCCTCAGTCCACTCCTCTGCCTACCGGTCACTCGCTCTCAGCTCTGCCTTCGGATGAGTCCGTAGAGCCGAGTGGCCCGTATCCAGAGCTTGTGGGCTGCCTCATGTACCTGATGACCTGCACTCGACCTGACCTTGCATACCCTCTTAGCATCCTAGCACGCTATGTCGCTCCTGGCCGTCACCGGAAGCAGCACATGGATGCCGCTAAGAGGGTGTTGCGCTACTTGTGCAGTACGTCGGGCATGGGGCTTGTGCTTGGAGGACGGAGCGACGTTGTCCTCACTGGGCACTCAGACGCTTCTTGGGTTGACGACCAGGCTACGCAGCGGTCGTCTCAGGGTTACACCTTCAGCCTGGGCTCTGGTTCAGTTTCTTGGCGTTCTACACGCTCGTCTTCAGTTCTCAGCTCCAGTTGTGAGGCTGAGATCTACGCCACAGCCATGGCTGCACAGGAGTTACGCTGGCTCACCTACCTGCTGACCGACCTGGGAGAGCGGCCTCGTTCTCCTCAAGTGCTGTACGTCGACAACAAGGCCGCCATTGCCTTGTGTCAGGAGCACAGACTGGAGCACAGAACGAAGCACATCGCTCTGCGCTACTTCCTTGCTCGAGAGTTGCAGCAGCGTGGTCAGCTTCGTCTTGCTTACGTGGCCACTCGGGCCAACACTGCTGATGTGTTCACCAAGGCGCTTCAGCCTTGTGATCATCAGCGTTTCTGTACTGTTCTCGGCCTTGTGCCCACTGTGCCTCACTTGCTTACTTCTTGACTCTGCTTGTACTGTGATCTCTATATATATACCTGCATGCTTACACTTGCTAGGTTGTGATCACTGTACCTCTTGTTTTTATCAAACTGCATGTGAATTGGTCTTGTGACCGCTTGCTTGTGCTCGGAATTTGTGTGGTTTCCTTGAGATCCACCCTGAGCTTGCTTTGCTTTGCTTTGCTTTGACTGGTCTTGTGACCATCTGGTTGTCCCCCACTTCGCCTATGGGGGTGTGTCAAACATTATACATGTTTATATTGTGTAGGCTATAGTGGGCTTAGCCTTAGGGGGTACAACATTGCTAGGGTTTCCTACTTGTATCACCCTGCTGCCTAGTTCATTCATTCGCGTTCAGTTCTACATTCTAACACATCGATCTGCCAGGTGCGCGAAGTTTCTGCAAATCTTGCAGTAAAGGCGCCGCGGCCGTCGCTCTTCCGTGTTGTCGGCGCTGAAGGCGAGGCGTTCCCTGTCTCGTCGCGGCGCTGGTCGCTGCTAGTCGATATCCCGTTGTTCGACGAGGAGGGCGGCGCAAAGGGCGGCCTCCGAGATGACCCCCTGCTGTCGGAGAAGCGCCTTGCTGGGCCGCCACTTTGGGCCGAGCCCTTGAAGCACAATGTTCACGAAGATCTCCTTAGAGATCGTGCTTCCCAACTTCGCGATTTGATCGCGTAAGCTCCGACAGCGGTTGATGTAGCTGTTGGCCTTCTCCCCTGGTGCCATTCTTGTCTCCAGTAGCTATTGGAGTAGGCGGCTCGACGAAACCAAGTCCTTCGGTTGATAGACGCCGTTCAGGTGGCGCCAAGCGTCGAGGGCTGGGGCATGCGTTGTTTTGTATGAGCGAATGCTCAATTGCTCCGCGGGCGACATGTTTCGCAGAAGAACTCCGTACGCCATCAGGGACTTGTTGTAGTACCTTGCCTTGGCGTCGTCGGTGTCTTCAGCGGGTCCCGGGTAGCTCCCGTCGAAATAATGGAAGATCTGCGCGTTTTGCAGCAGCAGCTCCAGCTCGAAGCTCCACGTATAGAAGTCTCTGCCGTCAAAGCACACACTTGTCTTTATTTTTGATATACTCAAAAACCTTGATTGCGCAGAGAGAATTGCTTCTTCGCTGGGACGGGGAGTTTTGGGAGTTGAGCCATTGGTGTCGAGGGAGAAAGTATGCGGGGCGGTATTGTGGCCGTTCGAGGCCGGTTGAGAGGGTTGGGAAGTTGTTCCCACGTCGCCATTCCGCAAGGTTTGGAGTCCTTGCTCCAAGCTGGTGAGTCGCTGAAGCAGTTGTGCGAGAACGGCGAAAGGAATCGTCGTTGTTTCCTCGCTTGTCGCAGCCGGGTTGGTCTGCGCTTCAGCCGTCAGATTCGTCTGACCACCAGATCCTCCGGCCATTCTCACGCGTGAGCGTGTGCCGGACGCCACTTACCGTTCGCCGAAGATTTCGGTGGTGGCGGTGCGAAGGATTCCTGAGTCACTCTCATACCATGTTGCGATCAGAAGTTGATCGTGCCTAGGATCACCTCAGGAAGGTTCGCACACAACTGAGTAGTGGTGGTGGGCCTGTGACCTCAATAGCAGAGTGAATGTAAATGCTTGAGATGATAAAAACATGCAAATAAAGCACTGTAAATAAGATTACAAGGGAATACCAATCGACCTAGCTAGCCATGTACTATAAGGGGTACATTCCCTTATTACAGCGAAATCCAACCGTGCGACTCCAGACAGTTACGAAACTGTCCGGGCAGAATCCTCGCCACTGCTGCTGCCTGATGCTGTCTGCCCGACGGTCCAGATCCTTTCGTAACCGTACGACCCTTCGTGTCACTTCCGCCCTTTCGCCTTCAACCTCGGTAGTGCGTGCTTCGCTTGCTGCGGTGAGGAGTGCACAGTAATGTTTCAATAATTACTATTCGTAACAAGGGTGATTTACACTGATAAAATTAGCCCTGCTCCCATCCCATCCACCTCCTCAGTTGGACCATATAATTTTGTGATTAAAAAGGCAATGCTCTTTTCCTTCGTAAGTGTACGCCATTTAGCGGTGTTTTTGTTCCTTGTTTTCAGAGATCCACGTTCTCGGCTTGTGGGCGTTCGTGGCGCATCTAACGGCCGACTTTCGAGCTCTGCATCTGCCACTCCTTGTTCAATCTTCCTCCGCCACCGCAGGGGATGCGTGTAAGCGCAACGCAACGTTCCGTTCCGTTTGATGTTTAGCCAGAGAGGAAGGGAGGGAGCGCGGTTGCGCCTCCACACATGCCTAGGGTGCAAACCCCATCCAATCCCCAACCTGCCAGGCCTGTTTTCCTCAGAACAAACCCTCAATCGAGGGACCCATCAACCTCTCAACGCCCCCCTTCGTCTGATTCGCGTGCACTGGTTGGGCATCATGTGTACCAAAGAATTTCCCCTTCCCTGAATCCTCAACTCGCCGCACTCAACCACTCTCCTCCCCGCTTCCCGGTTTCCCACCTTCCCCGCCTTTCCGCTCCCCTATTTTCCCGCGCCACCGCTTTCCCGCCCCCACCCCCCCGTTCCCGTCCGCTTCCCCATTTCCCCGTTCCCCACCCTTCCCCTACCACGCCACCACCCCATCCCTCCCCATCACCACCTTTCCCCCAACCCCATTGGCATTGCTGGCTATATTCCCCTGCTCTCCTTCGCCCTCTACCCCAAAGCTGCGAGGTTTTGCTCCTTTCTACCTTCTCCTTGTCGATCACATCTGAGGTTTGTTTCTTTCTAGTTTGTGTTCACTGCTCTTCAAGAGAGGGTGCTAGAGCCTGTTCCTCGAGTATTTCCGATCTAGATCCTCGTACTTTCTTAAACTATCATGGGTTCTGAGCGTGAGGACAATGTGTATCGCGCCAAGCTCGCGGAGCAGGCTGAGCGCTATGACGAAATGGTGGAAGCCATTGAAGATGTTGCTAAGATGACCGATGGAGCTGAGCTTTCCGTTGAAGAGCGTAATCTTCTCTCCGTCGCTTTCAAGAACGTCGTCGGTGCTCGTCGTGCAGCATGGCGCATCGTGTCGTCGATCGAGCAGAAGGAGGAGAGCCGGGGACATGAAGACCGCGTAGCCGTCATTAAGGAGTACCGCGCTAAGATTGAGAAGGAGCTCGACGAGGTTTGCGGACGTATTTTGTCTCTTCTGGACACCACTCTTATCCCGGCTGCAAAGACTGCTGAGTCGAAGGTTTTCTATCTGAAAATGAAGGGCGACTACCACCGTTACCTCGCTGAGTTCAAGACTGGCGCTGATAGAAAGGATGCTGCTGAGGCAACACTGGCTGCTTACAAGGCAGCTCAGGTAGGTCACCTTTGTCATAAATGTGTGTGAGATGAGATCTATGCTTCACGTCCTTTATCAGCCTGTCCCATCTTTTACTCTTGCGTTGTTTGGTGATACTTTCTGCCCATTTTATATCCCCATCGCGAACGTTTGTTTCTTTCGGTTGCCCGTCAAGACTAATGTGTTTCTGGCAGACTGTTTCTTAACATATTGCGTTATATTAATGTTTCCTCATGCTTCGTTTTTCTCGTTATTTTGCAGGACATTGCCAATGCTGACCTCGCTTCCACTCACCCGATCCGTCTTGGTCTTGCTCTCAACTTCTCCGTCTTCTACTACGAGATTTTGAACTCTCCCGAGCGCGCTTGCACCCTTGCCAAGCAGGTTAGAGTTTGTCGTATTCGTAACGGTCTCTTTTTGCATTTTGTTTTCCCTGTTCGTTGGATGTGTGTATTATGGTCCTTCCTCTACGTCTCCCCTTGCGTCTTCCTGTCCTGTTCACTCTGGTCATTTGTCTATCATTAGCCTCTCATGCCGGCGTTGACCCTCCTGCTTTACAGGCGTTCGACGAGGCTATTGCTGAACTCGATACATTGGGGGAGGACTCGTACAAGGATAGCACGCTGATCATGCAGCTGCTGCGGGACAACCTTACACTCTGGACTTCTGACATGCAGGTGCGTACACAGATGTGTACATTTGCGTAGCCAACAGTCACGTTTGGTTCGAGCTCAATTGGAATTGCCGTGCACGTTTGTCTTGCCATCATTGTATCCAGTTTGGTTGGCTTGCTTTGTTTCATGCTCATGTATCCCGGTTTTTGTATTTCAATGATGCAGGACGAGGCTACCGAAGAGAAGGCAGATGCTTGATCTAGGTTTATCCCCCTTTCCTGCATTTGCAGCCCTGTCATTCAGTAATAGCCGCCATGAGTGGGTTATCAATTATCTTGACGGGATTGTGGTGGATCTCTACTGTCATGCTTTTGCTGATATCGTAGAACCATGGTTATTACATGTAGTTAATGTTGCAGCCCTGTTCATGCAATACTGGGTTGCCTACCTCTCAGTGCCAGAAGTTTTGGAACGTTTCTTAAGACCTCAGCCCTGTGACCTCCCCTTATAGTTGGGTCCACTTGATATACTGATTCAGAGGTTATGTTTGTAGGGTATAATGTGTTGAACAATTTCTTTTTTTTCCTGATTCTGACCCATATTTCCAAGTCCGATATAGGAAACTTCTCGCAAGGAGTGCCAACTTCACATTCGTGCCACATTCACATGTCACAATCAATGTGCAGGAATGATTGGATTAGCAAGAGTTAGGGTACAAATACTAACCCTAGAAGTGCTGTACCTCATAAGGAGTGCCCCACTATAGCCTACAAGTGAGATTGTACTTTGACACACCCCCATAGGCTAAGTGGGGGACAACAAGACGGTCACAAGACCAGTCAAGCAAGACAACAGAGCAAAGCAAAGCAAAGCTCAGGGTGGATCTCAAGGACACCACACAATCCGAGCACAAGCAAGCGACCGCAACGCCAGTTCACATGCAGAGTTATAATAGCAAGGCAGTAGTACACTGATCACAACCTAGCAAGAAGAAACATGCAGGTATAAATATAGATATCAGTGTACAACAAGTGCAAGATCAAGAGACAAGCAGGTGGGGTAGAACGGGCAGAAGCCCAAGAGCAGTGCAAAAACGCTGAAGATCACCAGACCCGAGGGCCTTGGTGAAGACATCAGCAGTGTTGGCCCGAGAGGCCACGTAAGAAAGACGAAGCTGACCACGCTGCTGCAGCTCTCGAGCAAGAAAGTAGCGAAGAGCAATGTGCTTCGTTCTGTGCTCCAGTCTCTGCTCCCGACACAAGACAAGCATGGCCTTGTTGTCGACGTACAGAACTGGAGGAGAACGAGGCCGCTCCCCCAAGTCGGCCAGCAGGTAGGTCAGCCAGCGTAGCTCCTGTGCAGCCATGGCCCCAGCGTAGATCTCGGCCTCACAGCTGGAACCAAGCACAGAAGAAGAACGAGTGGACCTCCACGAGACAGAACCAGAGCCAAGACTGAAGGTGTAACCCTGTGACGAACGCTGAGTCGCCTGGTCGTCGGCCCAAGAAGCGTCGGAGTGTCCTCTGAACCCTGTCCTCCAAGCACGAGCCCCATGGCCGATGTACTGCACAAGTAACGCAATACCCTCTTCGCAGCATCAAAGTGCACCTTTCGGTGTCTACCGGGAGCCACGTAGCGAGCCAGGAGGCTGAGAGGGTATGCGCGGTCAGGTCGTGTGCACGTCATCAGGTACATGAGGCAACCCACAAGCTCTTGGACCACTCGGCTCTACGGACTCGTCCGAAGGTGGAGCTGAGAGCGAGTGGCCGGTAGACAGAGGAGTGGGTTGTGGCGAGGAGTACTGGAAGCCGAAGCGCCGAAGGACCTGGTGCACCATGTGTGACTGAGTCTGGGTGATGGTGCGCCGTGCTCTGTCCCGGGTGATCTGCAAGCCAAGATAGCTACGCAGCTTACCCAGGTCAGTGCAGGTGTGTCTCTCCTGCAGCTCCGCCTTCAATAGGGCCAGCGCCTCAGTGTCAGCAGTAGCAAAATCCAAGTCGTCGACGTACACGAGAACGTAGAACGACGGTAGGGTAGTGTCGGTGCGTAGAAACAGCGACGGGTCAGCAGAGGAAGGAGCAAACCCAAGAGCCGCAAGTGTAGTCCTCAGTGTGTCGTGCCACTCTCGGGGCGCCTGGCGGAGACCGTAGACTGGCCGCCGGAGGCTCCACTGGGTACCCGCAGGAAACGACCCAGTGAAGCCAGGTGGGCGGCGCAGCCAGATCTCCTCGTGAAGGCTGCCCTGCAAGAAAGATGTGGAGAAGTCGAGGGAGTGCAGCTCGCAGTCACGCTGTGCTGCAACGTGCAGCAGCACCCGAAGAGTAGTCATCTTCGGAGTGGGGGAGAAGGTATGGAAGAAGTCGACCCCCTGTCGCTGACTGAAGCCTCGAGCAACGTAACGCGCCTTGAAGGCAGGCGGAGAACCCGACGGCCGCTTCAGTCTGAAAATCCACATGCCATCGACTATGTTCGCCCCAGGAGGAGGAACCTCGTCGACGTAGGTGCCTGTAGACTTCCAGGAAGCCATCTCTGCGTCCATGGCTGTCTGCCACTGAGAGGAATACTCACCCGCTATCGCCTCAGCGTAAGAGCGCGGGGTAGGGATGTCAAGTGCATCCGGGTCTCCCTCAGGGCAAAGCAGCATGGATGCGAAACGAGGTAAAGCGGCCGCAAGACACTCAAGCTCAAACTGCCTATCCTCAAGGACGTCACTGCTAAGGGCAGGCTCACCCCCGACGGACGGAGGACAGACAGACTCAGACTCAGTAACAAGACTCGCGACGTAGTCGAGACGACTCCTAGCTGCAAAGTCGACTAGCTAAGTGACTAGGGCAAACGCTGCAGTAGACTCAAAGTCAGGGTCAGTGACGACAAAAGCGAGGAGACGAGTGACAGTAGGACTGGCAGCACGAGCAAGGTCGGACTGAGGGTCAGGAACGTGCGGAAGAGAGGACGCGGGAGGCTCAGGCAGGACAACACGCTGTGGAACAGAGGAAGGACGAAGTGCCATACCGTGAGTGCCTGGGACAGCAGGAGGATGAGGACAGGCTACACGACGAGCACGAACAGGTGTGGAAGCACGAGTCTCAGGCTCACGAGGCTCAGTCAGGGACTCAGTCACCTTAGTGTGAGGAGTAGGAGCAGGCAGCGGGGAGCCACGCAGTAGCTGTGGCTGAGACTGGTCTGTCGGTGGACATAAGAGAGGTGGAGTGAGGCCAGTGGAAGATGGGAGACTAAGAACCTGGTGAAGGACCGAGTCAGGCGGCGGAAGGGACGACTGCGGCTGCGGGTAAAAAAACGGTCGGCGCGGGGCAGTACCAGCAGCTCCAGCTCCTCCTGCACCAGCAGCACCAGCACCTCCAGCACCAGGACCTCCAGCACCTCCAGCACCAGCAGCACCACGAACTCCAGCAGCGCCAGCACCTCTAGCACCAGCAGTACCTCCAACACCTCCAGTGCCAGCAGCTCCCGTAGCACTTCCAGCACCTCCAGCACCAGCAGCACCACCTGCTCCGACAGCTCCAGCACCTCAAGTACGAGCACCTCCAGGACCAGCACCTCCAGCACCTCCAGCACTAGCAGCACCACCAGCTCCGGCAGCTCCAGTACCTCTAGTAGGGGCCCGCGGGGGCCTTCCTAGGTTGCGACGTGGGGACCCGTGGGGGTCTCTCTCTAGCACGTGATTCAACGGGGCGCTGAGGGATGACGGGGCACTACGGGTAACGGGGTACCAACGGGCGAGCGCGGGGCGGTGGGCCCATGAGAATCGACTGCTCTGACACCATGTTAACGTGGTAACGGAATAATGAATGAGTAGGAACAAGCAGTACAAGGGAGGATATAGCAAACCCCAAGGGGGTTATACCCTCTATAGCATAACTCAATGTAGCACTAGACTACATTAACAAACTATAACAATTATAGTTTGACAGCAGCCCCAGTGGCGGAGGGTTTCGGAGTATTCGTACTGGGGGTGTAGAGGCACCTGGTGGCGTAGAGGCTGCTAGTCTTGGTGCTTTTGACTCACCTAGCACAGGTGCAGAGACTGAGGAGGCCTTGCACACTTTTACTCTCGACTCAGGCGCGTCTCGTTGCTTCTTCGGGACAACACCACAGTCACACCGCTCACAGTCCCTGTCCCTGTAACACTGGCCGACCCCTTCGGGGGCCCGGTAGTCGCGCGTGGCGCCACTGTTCTCCCTTGTCCGGCGGCCCCTTCCGGCCTCCTCACAGGTCTCCACCTCCCCTCGTTCGCCAAGAACTTGGTGGCTACCTCTGTCCTCCAGGACCAGTGGGTCACTGTCACCCAGCCTGGAGGCGAGCTAGTGGCGATCGGTACGGACTCGCGCATTGGTGAGCACCTCGCCACGTTCACTCGGAGGCCTGGGTCTGGCCTGTACACACTGACCACTGAGTCTGCACTGGTAGCTGAGTCAGGTCAGGTAGCTACGTTGGTTGAGGTCGCTGCGTTTGTTCGTGTCGTCTCCTCACGCACCAGACTCTCCTCTGGCACCACCGTCTTGGCCACCCCTCCTTGCCACGCCTGCGTGGCATGCACTCCCGTCTCCTTGTGTCTGGTCTCCCCAGGTCCCTGCCCCCGCTTCCGAGGTCGCTTGCACCACCCTACATCCTTTCGTCGAGGGGCGGCAGCGCGACGCTCCTCACTCCTCCTCATTTCCTCCTACCACTGCTCTTCTGCAGACCCTGCACATGGACGTGTGGGGCCCCGCCCGCGTCACTGGACAGGGTGGCGAGCGCTACTTTCTGCTGGTTGTAGACGACTACACGCGCTACACCACGGTCTTCCCCTTGCAGAGCAAGGCGGATGTCCGCGGTCTCTTGATCCGCTGGATCCGCGCTGCCCGTCTCCAGCTTCGCGCTCGGTTCCGTGAGGACCTCCCAGTCCTGCGGCTGCACTCTGACCGAGGTGGTGAGTTTTGCTCCCGCCTCCTCGAGGACTTCTGTGGTGCTGAGGGCATCGTCCAGTCGTACAAGCTTCCGGCCTCTCCACAACAGAATGGGATTGCCGAGCGCCGCATTGGTCTGGTCATGGAGGTTGCTCGCACCTCCATGATCCATGCAGCTGCTCCTCATTTTCTGTGGCCGTTTGCGGTCCGATACGCCGCTGAGCAACTCAACCTCTGGCCCCGTGTCTCCCACCCGGAGACCTCCCCCAATTTGCGGTGGACGGGCGAGGTTGGTGATGCGTCGGCGTTTCAGGTCTGGGGTTCCCTCTCTCTTGTCCGCGATCTGCCTGC